GTCGTATGTACGTAATATAGAGTAGCGACAGAGGATTGTTTGTTGTATATTTAAAATTGTTGTATATTTAAAATAATGTTGTATTTGCGCTTTGAAGGAAGAGAGGTTATTGTGAAGTGATGTATGTGCAATGGAGGGAAGTGTCTGGGTATATATATACATGTATGAGTAGACACGTTCGCGTGTTAGATGACGACGTCATGACATAATATCGCGTCTGTCATGATTGTTTCCGTAAATAAATCAGTGTAACATTCCGGGTACACGCAGTAAAAAATTTTTTCACTGGCTAACAAGTCATAAAATTTATAATTGACTTGGCTCAAGTTTCCAAAAAAGCACTGTTTTATTATGGTTGAAAATATCTCTGGCAAACACCTTAACAAAAATACTAGAATTGTTAAAAGAATGTGGTTATTGAATTAAATATGATGTATTAAGTGTGGAATTTCTTCAATTGGGGCACTTTTTGATTCTCCCCTTTGTTTATATGAGCCAAGTCTATTTGTTTTTTAAATTTGCAAGCCATCCATCAGAGGCATTAAAGTTTTTAATACAAGTCCATTTTGTTTTTCCTCTATGTCTTTTCCACATACCATACTGAGATAAAATATAGCTTTTTAAGTTGAAGGGCTTTTGCCTTCTCTGCTCTCAATCCATCTGATTCGTTATTATATATACAAGATAAAGATAATATATCTCGATGACCAAATAATTGCTATCGAGAAAAACCAAATGAGTTTTATTGAAATTTTATCTCGTGGGAAAGAAAATGACATTGTAGAAGCCTCTTCCTGCATGTTTTAGTGGAGATCTCTTTGAAACTCTATGTAACTCCACCAGAAATTCAAAAGACAAAAATTCTAATTCTAATTCTAATTCTAAAATACACAAATTAAAATACGCAATAATAATGAACCAAACCCTGATATTTACATTTGGCAGTATAGACTGTTCCATAACCACTGGATCAAATCTCCTTAATTTCATCAAAGTTGGTATATTTTACACGTAGTGGTGGAGTAATACACCCCGCATACGATATGTGCTCTCTTGAAAAATACGATAAAAAAATTTTTATGTAATAATACCCGATTATTTGATATTTGTTTAAAACTACAAGTAAATTGCTACAAAACTAATTAAGATTTTGTTTATAGCGCAAACGGTTGGGCAGCTATTAAAATTTGAAAAGTTTTATTGTAACGCTTAATTGTTTCGTTTTCGGTTAAATAAAAGCAAACTCGAATCGTACATATTAATGTGCAATAAAATTTTGCAGTGATATAGGCTAAAAGATGTGCAGATAATTACTAAATTCCATTACGTTTGGACGTCAAATTCTTTGATAAAACAAATCCTTCTGATGGTTATGTGAAAACGTTGTCAAGTATTACAAGTATATTTTAAAATGTGAACCTCTTAAAAAAGTTCCAATGTTGAGTTCAACAGCAAAGTTCGAACACCCCCTCAATTTATTAATTCTATCTTTTCCCTCCTTTTCTGCTAGTCCTGGTCTACTGATATGAAGCAGTCTTACCATAATGACGAGATTATTAAAAAATACATTGCTCAACGTGATATCCTGTCTTTGTACTAGTAAACCATATGAACATCAATGTTTTTCGAAACATACATTTTGTGAAGGTATTCAATTAAAAATATTATAAAAATAAATGCCAAGTTAGACCTCATACATATATACGTGAATTTTTCCTTAGTTTATACTCGAACGTGACGGTTTTTGGTGCTACACTGACGGTTAATCAAAATAATGACTGCAAAACGTCGATTTTCGATACGTGTATTATTGAGCGTTATTACAGATTATCCCGATTGAAGCTGAATATTCGGGGACATGGAAATGAGAGAATTCTAACAAATAATGAATTATAATCTTGCAGGTCTTTTGTACAAGTTCGTCTTCTGCAATACTAATACTTGATGTTACGGAGTTATCTTCCATCACTATACATGATAATCGAATACTAATACAAGACAACGCATCTTCTACTGTACGAAAAATAGCAAAGATTGGCTAACATTTTTGACTTGTAATTTGTATTTTTAATTCCTTGGGCTAACTGTTTATTAATTAACAAAACTTTTTACTTGTGACATGTAAATGATATTCTTTAATAAGAAAGCCAATTTGAACTTTTCAACAGCGTTTACTTACTTGTTGTATCTCAGCGTAAATTATCCTGCGTATGAACAATTTACAAAAGTTTGAGGTGACTACTCATCTACTGATTGGTGCTATTTATTAGTTGTACATACGATTGAACCTGCGGGGGTAATCCTAGTACATCGTTGATTAAACTTATGCTCAAAAGATTTTGTATGCCGTATGCTTTTCTTTATTTTAATTTGTAATCACGCGTGTATCTTAACGTTCAATCGTCAGTACAACTAATAAAGAGATTAGACAACCATTTGAAGAGAACTCGCCATCCACCCGATGCTAGGCTTACTGTAATTGACTAAATGAAACCAAGATTAGAATATTATGTAAACAAAAATTGATATATGATTATGTTCTTACGTTCTTACAACTTTGAGGTTATCAGTAATAACATAAACCGAAACGACCAAGTTTATTAATCAGCTTATAGAAAAGCAAAACTCAGACTCTTTACCAACCAGAAATAACCAGGCTCCGTCACCCAACCGTCTTGCGTAAAAGCAAATAAACATGCTGTCCAACGTGAAGATCCTCTACATGTCGATGACTGCCTTTAAGCTCCATCAAAAGACCACCATACGAAACATATATCGCACTAATTAAATTGAGAGATGAATGAGAAAATTAAGGATAAATACAATATTGATTCTATCAAGTGAGGTCACAATGATAGCCAAATGCGAGGAACGAATCGCTAATTATTCCTAGTTTCAATAGCCAACATGAAACGTCTGTGGTGTTTTGGTACTTCGTCATCTCTTTACAATCACTTTTTCTCTAGTCTTCTCATATTATATGCATAATCAATTAATCAATCGATCAATCAATCAAAAGGATACACTCTGGGATTATCCTTGTCGTATTTGTAAATTTTTCCGTGCATAACATACTCATATTTATCACTCAAGTCCCTTTCATCGGGCAAATTCGGCCTCCATGGCTCACGCTGTCTATCATCCTCGTCTCTATCCCCTGGCTTGCTGTCTTTCTTATCTCGGACCGTTCGGGTCGGTAGCCCGGTTACCGGATCGAGCGCAAGAGAAGAGGCAAGTACGATCTGAACACGATCACCAATGTCGAGTGGGTAGAGCTCGGTATTTATATCGACAGTTATGTCGCATTCCGTGTTTTCGGTACAGCCATAGAAGCGAGACACTATAAGTGCGAAATTTATGTAAGAATAGAAGTTTAGAGATCAGGCGTTATGTTGTATGCTTCACTGTTACCTCTTCCGAATTTCTTCCCCCCGCTGTCCATGTCGTTAATGTTTATTGTATCTTGGAAAAGGATAGTATTTACCTGAGTCATTGTTGGTTATGAGATGGTGCGCGAAAAAATCTTGAACGACAGAAAAGAGCGGCAGATTAACAGATTAACAGGTCGGTCTTTATTATTATTGCGATACAACTTGGTAGCATTTGAGAAGTAGTACAATTTTTCTAACTGTGCACGTGTTATGTTCGTCAAGTTCTATTGGCTAAATTTACGTTCGACCTGGTATCAGTTACAAGACGAGCAAAAACTACAGCAACGACATGAGCGTCTGGTCCCTTCGTGATGTCGAATATACTACTTACATACTCGACGACAATCGGCTTTGCCCTTTCACCTGCCCCTCCCTCTCCTGCTTTTCGCGCCGCGCCCTCTTTTCCCCGTGTTTCCCACACCACGGTCATTCTTTTGTTCCATTGGTATTGGTATTTTATCCCTTCTTTCTTCGATCGTTATTTTGCTTTCATGGATATTCTCTCCCCATTGGGCGACTACAACGTTGTGAGTGCGCAAGTGAGCATGAAGCTTGATTAGCTGATCCATTTCTTGGTGAAGCCGCTGGAGTGGATTGGGAGAAGGGTAAGTTGATGGGCAGTTTTCGGGTAAAAAAGGGAAAAACAGAGATCGAACATGTTAGATTGTAATTAACTGAAAAATAATCAAAACATTAAATCATACTATGATTTGATACTTATGACAATGTGATAATGGAGTGTATGGATCCATTTTGGGGAACCAAAAGTAGAGAAGAAAGATTTGGACACTTGGTTTTGCGAGTCGAATGATTATGCAACCATGTGACATCGAACAATCTAATTAGGATGGTTGTACGACTCTTCTGCTTTGAGACCGCACAGATCGAGATGTTGCTTCAGTGTCTCAATTTGTACAGATTACTAAATAAGTATACTGGAATTTACAGTGTTGTAACTTTTCGCTCTGACCAATGGTGGAATGCCAAATTGGACATAATAATTGCCATTTATATGATCATTCTCAAAAAATTTTATCATGAGTTTGAAAATAAACAGTTGTTAAAATGCAAGTTTTCATATTCTCTCAACCAATGTAAAACATTACTTTTTACGGGACATTATTAATAAGACGTTTTTGACAACTAGACAAACTTCTGTCCATTGAGTGTAACTTCAGCCAATTCATACTTCAAATTGGTATTTCTTGTACGACTTCGGATTAATACTACTATCGACATTAATATCGTGGCTGGGATTATCACTGCATTGGTGTTTGTATTATCAAGTTGATCAGCGCCTTGCATGAATATATCAATTTTTTTATTGGAGATGTATATATTAAATGCATCGAGGCTAATTTTCCCAATTCGTAACCTGGTACAATGTAGAAACTAACCATTCAGTGAATAGCCGGTCAGACTAACCATATAACACACCCTCATAAAGATAAAAAATTATTGCTTTTTATATGTAGTCAATTTTTCACTAATTACACAAACAAATAATTATAAATATGCCCATTACCATAAGATACTATTCGTCTTTTGTTCAATTATTCTCAATTCACAATGTCACTTCCACTAGCGCTTCGTGCACTCCACACCCTTATCATCATCGCGCTACTCAGTATATTCAGTTTCAATCTCTACGCACAGATAAAAGACGCCGGCGTAATAACTCAATCATTCACAGTGGTAACAAATGACTCACTAGTCCCGCCAGCAATCACTTTTTGCATTTCCGAGAACACCGGCTATACATTCAATGTTACCGTCTATGGCGAAATAGTTCCTCCCGGTGACTTCTTGCAGACATTCCCAACGGATAATCCCTTGGTGTCAACCCTAAAAACACTCGTTAGCGACTGCTGGATATTGGCAGCACCATTGAATGCTTCTATCATTCGCAATCCGCCCCCAACCCCAAATGTGCCCGAGTTTTTACTTACATACACGAGAGACCTTAGTTATCTACCTAAAAATGTGACTACATTGTATATGAATATATTCGACCCATTGCAGACGAGCTCGTTGTTTGATTTCAATAGATTCTTATTATTGGATGCGGACAAAAATAGAGCAGTTATATTCACACGAATACGGTCTTTTAATATTAAAAACGAAGTGTCGAATGATGTGCAGTATCAAATCATTGAGGAGTTCAGGGACCCTACTTGGACTGTGCCTGGCGTTAGTGCCAAAAGTCAGATTAGAATCAGACCTGGTGAGTAAAATTTATTTATACGAACAAAATGGAATGAATAGTTAATGCTAGTTCAATGGTCGAGAGAGAAATACATATGTGTACAAGTTATACTCATAATTTACAATTTGCACAGCCTCTTTTGATATACACCAAACAAGATCAGTTCAAAATACAACAATCTGGACAATCATCCGGGATAGCTTTACACTTCTCGGAGTTCTTTACGGTAGTATATACATTTCCCTTATTGGACCTGGTAAATTCCGGCCGTGGGGACATCTACATGGCATCTTAAGATATTACCCTATTGAACATATCAAGAACAAAGACGTTAGCGGAGAAGCATTGGTCAAAGACAAAGATATGGGGCTAGCACAAAGACCGACGTTAGATGAAACGTTGGGGGTATTTCTGGAGAGATATAGTCTTGCCAAATATGACCGAAGATAAGCGGAATCGGTGTTGGGTTTAGATTATTGGTGTTTATTATTATTAGGAAAGCATAGTTTGAAATTTTCTGGTTGGTAATGTAAGATCCGATGGCAATGGTTTATGTTATATCTTAATTATTTGTAAATTTATTTCTTGCGCTCAATACATATAAAGTAATCGTATTCAAAAGAATGCTCGCACACGATATTGTTACGTTTAACTTACATAGAATACAAAAGATAGAATATTTCCAATCGCCGATTACACGGACAAGCGAATGGTATAATACTACATTATTTGCCTCCTGGCAATAAAATTTTTAAGACAAATATTGGTAAGTAATTAAATGACGGGAGAGTTCGGTTCTCCTATTTGTGGGAACACAATTGAAGTACAGTATTCTCTTCCGCCTCGAGCCCCTTATGACAATTAGGATGAGGCTTTTCTGCTGAAGGCATATGCAAGCCACCAAGATTCCTCCACATAGTAACCAGCCCACCAGCCTAGCATGAACTTCAAGCCATCGAGAGTAATTAGTTACTAATGATTGCATAAGACGCGAGGTTTCAGTGTTACATGCATGCCTTAGACCCACTCACAGCTATCAATTTTTGAATACAAAATGGCTGTGTCTGCATTTACACACATTGTGCATAAAATCAGGCCTACGTTAATATTCCTTACACACTTTGACAGTCAGATGCATGCTACTAGTCATTCACTATCACTACGTAATGATGTTCACTTGAATCAGCAGGTCTGTCCATTACCCAATCATGGACATACAAGTCAGCATTTGCAGGCGTATAATTACCTAATTCGTTCCATGGGAACGGAATGTACGAAGCTTCTTCTATCGGAAGCAATGAGAACGCAGGCTACTCTTATCAGCACTAATACTGAAGCTCTATTGATGACTAATCAAGTTATTCTATTCGTAAGCAGCGCCTTTTTCGATGCGAAAAGCAAAAGCCTTCATGTGTAGAAGGAGAAAGAGGATAAACAACCTCGTTATTACATACTATATCCAACAGTTCAACATTACACCGACTTTCACGCGATCCCGTCGATCACTGCACATTCTAATACTAATTGAGAATTTAAATCAGCGTTCGCCAGCCAGCTACTACGCGTCAGACATATATACGTTGGAAGGACGCGTTCCCAAATGTACGCATATCCGTTACATACTCGAAATCCACTCATTTGACTGTACATTTATCCCAACCTCTACCAACTTTTGAACTTGTCACAACTACGCACTCTTATTCTATAAACGCTTTAATTCTGCTAGTCCCCTTGTCTTTAATAACACAAAACGTGCAGATCCAACGTATTGGATATAGAATTTACCTCAACCATTCAAAGACGCACCATATCCTTTGGGTCTTTCTACAAACAGCGTCAGAGATAAAATAGCATAGTTCGATTAAAATGAGTGACGATTGTAGCACTGATTCACCACCGAGAACACCTCCTCGTAGAGAGGCTGTGGGAATAGGAGACGGTCAAAGGGAAGGTCACAGCGAGTACTATCCTGTTACACCGCCTGGAGCGCGTATCGGGGACAGGTAAGAAACTATGAACATTGTAATGGGGATGTGTGAATAGAGAGAAGTGATTTGAATAAGGAAGGTGAAGAAAGAGTATTAGTGTTCGAAGAGGTTTTTTTTTTCGGAAATAGATTTATCCCCGTCCGGTCACCCGACCCGGCGGTCGAATTTTTACGACTGCCGTCTGGAATTGCGTCAAATAAACGTAAGAGAGAAGAAACGAATTCTTCTGGAAGACGTCAGGGTAACTCGTTTAATTCTGTATATGCCGAAAATTTTTTTCGTAACCCTTCACCTTTCACGATGTTTCTCTTAACCTCCCCTCCGTATTTTCTAAATCAGGAAACGAACTTTATCGTGTAGTTCTTGAAACGGCCTTATTTCCAACCCACAACGATTACCTCGATCTTAGTCACACACCGACGTCTCATCAATTAATGACATTCAAATCACCATCTGCCAAGTTGAGACGCACGACTACCATCGATTCGCCATTTCGTGACGCGTATTCAACAAGCCCATTGTCGCATGAGGCTCAGAGCATCCTAACTAGTTTACGTCCAGAAGGCAGAGGGGGTAATGAAGAAGAACGACCAGGTTGTTTTAGGGCTTTGGATGCGCCAGGATTGCAGGTTCGTTCCCGAGGACAATAAGAGTATGGTAGTTGTCGAAGAATACATAAAGGATTCGATGAATGTTACGGCACCCGATTAACGTCTTTGTTTTGTAGGATGATTTTTACTTGAATTTACTGGATTGGTCGCCACAGAACGTAATAGCTGTTGGCTTGGGCGCCGCGGTGTATCTATGGAATGCCAAGACGGTGGAGGTTAATTCTCGTTCCTTTTGTTTTCTTCTTTTCCTGACATGATAATCTTCTACTTCACTCTCATTACCATCTATAGGTTACCAAACTATGCGAATACTCACATTGGGAGTCAGTAACGTCTGTGCTCTGGTTAAGTCAGGTAGGTGCGTCTTTAACTTGTGAAAAGACGTCATCTATTTGTTTGTTTTGCATTGCCGTGAATCAAGCTCTTGACTTTTAAATAGGGTGATTATATCGCGGTAGGAACGAGTCGTGGATTGGTTAATATATATGACGTGAAGACAAGAAAAAAAATACGAAGACTGAATGGACATCGAGGACGCGTTGGTGAGTTTTTAGTGCATATTGAGCTGATATTACGCAATGTTTTATTTCTAGATTCCTTGGTTGTTTAAGGCTCTTGTCTGAACCGATTATCTTACCACTCGTACTTGAAACAGCTTCAATGTCATGCAATGAACCTATTCTCAGCACTGGAAGCTCGTGTGGTATAATTCTTCAACAGGATTTACGCGTTTCCGGTCCTGCTCTACGTGTTTTAGCTGGTCACCACGGAGAGGTAGATACAAATGCCATTCAATTCACAAGTGTACTCGTCCACATTTCTAATTCTTTTTCGGATTTTATGAGGTCTGTGGCCTTAAATGGAACAGCGACGGAACACTCCTAGCAAGTGGAGGAAACGACAACACAGCACTTGTTTGGGATGATCGTGCATACATACCTCTTTATAGTATTCGAGAACATAATGCTGCGGTCAAAGCTCTTGCGTGGAGTCCACATGCGCGTGGATTGTTGGCTACTGGTGGCGGGACGCATGACAGGAAAATAAAAATTTGGAACGTGAATGCTGGCAAGCGATTAGATGTCTGTGATACTGGGTCGCAGGTATGTTGTCAATTTTCAGGTAGCAAGCTTATACAGATGTTATACCCAACCTTTGCGTGTTTCAGCCAGACACTTTTCGTAACTCTCAACGCAAATCCAAACATTTAAAGGTAACAAACCTCGCCTGGTCGGTTAATGCAAACGAATTGGTCTCCACACATGGATACTCCAAGCATGATATTAAAATCTGGCGTTATCCCTGTCTTACTCCCACGAATGAACTCGCTGGTCATAGCGACCGCGTAGTTTATCTTGCTACTTCACCCGATGAGAGATCTATTGTTACTGGGGGCGCAGACGAAACTTTGAGGTTCTGGAGAGTGTTCAAAGGACGACAACTGGATGTCGCGGAGAGTGAGAGTAGATTGTCATTGCGAGGGGGGAATGTAATTAGGTGATTCTGGTGGAGAGCGGATCATTGTAGGCGGTGTGAATATTGAACGACTAGGCAAGGGAGAAGGAAATTGGAAGAATTCATGAGAGGGAATGGAACTATTGATCTTTGAATGGAGAGGTTTTCTTTGTGGCTGGTATGCAGCAACGTTATCCTTGTTGACGTCCTTTGTAACATATTACTTTGTAGTATTATAATCTGTTATTAATATTTACTTTTTTTGCAATTAGTGAAATATGGTCATATTAAGTTTAGCTGCATGCATATAATAAATGTTATATTTAAAGCACATTTTTACTACTGTAATACTCTAGATCCGCGTGAAAGCAAAAGGAAATAGCTAAAGTCATAGGACAAAAGATTAATTTTAACCGCCACATCATCACGCGAGAGAAGAAAAGTCTGGGTCAAGAACAATAGCCCATGCTACTGAAGATCAGATCATTCTGCAAGTTGAATTGGGGATATATAATTCTAGCATTAGCGTATCTACACTATCGAATTAGGGGTATACGGTGAATGTAAATATTGAATGATTTCGTATCTTATACTTAATCTATCGACAGTTTAACTGAGACGCATAAATAATTAATTTGCTGAGATAACTTGATTGGTCAATTTTGATGTTGCACAAGGTATCAGTATAATTGTTTATGGTTTGACTGTAAGAGATGTATGGAAACATATTTTATAGAACTTTAACTTCATCCCTTTCCGGCCTCCCCTTTCAACACACCCTAGAAACAGCAACACAATAAAATCTTATTACCACGACTAAACAAGACATATCTAAGACCATTTCTTTCTCGTTTTCGGGCGCCGAAGACATGCTACGGACTTGCCTGAAATCAAAAAGATGTTCTCAGGTTTCAGCTATTGATACAGCAAAGTTGCGTGCGGAGGGAAAGAATTATCGTAACCAGAGGAGGAGTGATGTGAGTAATTGATTTATTATTATGTTGAAAACTGATTCTAACATAGGCTATTACAAACTCAAATCTGTTTTATAAATATTTAGAAAAGGAAGGCGATAACCTTTCCTTCACCACTCGCCAAATGTTCTCGCGAGTGGTACCATTTCGTAAACTCGCCCTACACCAAATCAAAATGGCTCGTACACCAATTCAGCAAGACGCATGCGTTATAAGGTTAGGAGAGCCATTCATAAATCCCACCGTTGTCCGGGACCTACTTGCCCAAAAGACAAACATAAGCCGTTACGCGATACAAAAACTGAAGGCCGGCTTCGAACAACGGGATACTCATTCTAACGAACAGTCAGAGGATGAACATCACCATCGACGATTACAGAGTCACCAATAAAAATTGGAAGCCGGGGAAACCGGTATCGTACCCCAACTCCTTATCCGGACGACGATTATGACCTCTGTAAAATCGAGGAATAATTGGTAGAAATTCGAAATAGATTTACAGATTCAATAGCTGTTTCTGAAAGAACTTCACTTTGTAGATGATAATAAAAATGATAACATTACTTCTTGATTGCATCGCAAAATCAATTCAGTCACCACTACCCATGGTTTCTATGTGGCTAATAATGAACACTTGGATGATGCTTGGGATGAAGATGAACTTTTTCTTGACAATGATGGAGGAATTACTATTACTATGACGATGTTACACTCAATTAGTAGAAAGTAGTTCCCAAATAACTTATTATTATCCCATTCATTAGTTATACGATATGAATTAGAAGTAATATTTGTATTATCTCGACATGTAATAAACACAGCGGTTGAATCCTGGTGATCGGGGAAATAATGTTCAAATTAGGAGGCATAGCATGCTATAAGACACATTTAATAAGTTCTGGTATTCTCTTATAATTTGCTTGGTGATCTATTAGTAGTCGGTATCTCAGTCGGATACTGTTAATATTAATCTTGCACAAAATCATCCACCTAAGATTTTCCACCATATATTAATATGCTATGTCGTAAACGCTGTAAACTAAGTATATCTTTCCATGTAATAAACGAATGATCTGGCTGTTGTTCGATAAACTCAGTTATTGTGTTAAGAGCAGTTAATGCCGTCTCAAAGGAAATCTTTTTTTGAGTCTCACTGACTCCCTCACTAAGTTCATTCGTATCTTGCTCATTAGTCTCAGATAGGACAATTTCAATAATGTTACCATACTCGTCGCAATAAATAAATTCTGGGTTTAATGACAATATAATAATATTAGACATTAACCAACACAATAAAACGCACCTTCTGCAGTCATGTTATTCTTGTATGGTAATCGTCTGAAAAGATTATTTATGGTATCTTGATCCGCTTCTACAGTTAGTACTGAGATATTTTTTCTTCTGTATTTGTAGTCAGCAGGATACCTGTTTTCTGCCAACAGTTTTTGATTGTCTCCTGAGTGACACAATCCATTGCATCATATAAACATTTGTTTATATTTGGCGGATTATACCGGCGTCGCGCGGTTGGAGTTTGCGGAGAAAGTGTATTGTGATATTGGTTAACTTCTGAGAGATTTTATGACACAAAGCGTTATCCAAGAGGATGGGATTTGTCAATCCAGTCGGAAAAAATTGATTCCTGGTTTAAATAAGATAAAATTGTGTGAATTTCGGTGAAGCATGACAATAAGTCTAACTTAAAGTTATAACCTGCATCCAGGTGGTAGCATTCCGATAATAGTCAACCAGTAGGTGATGATAATTTATACCTGTGGAGATTTCTCAGTATTTTCCCAGAATTATTTTTATCTGCAATGTCAACTATCACGAAGCAGGTTAGTGAACTCAAGAATGCTATCAAGAACGAGCTCCTTCAGTTTGAGAACATTTCCCCTAATAAAATTAAGCTATGGATTGTCAACATTTCCCTCGAAGAAGAAAACAAAAAGCTTGACCTCATCATCAACAAAAAAGCTGATGTTAATATTAAGGGCAAGGTGGTGTGGTGCTGCATCCATTTTCAAAGCTTAACAACAACTTTTTATCCCAGCCAGCCAACAAACGCATACATATCATTGCAGAGCATCCTGTTGAAACAAAAGAAGTTCATTGCACTGCAACATCTGGGCATAAGACAAAAAAGTTTCAGTGGACAGTAACCTGTGGGCAAGCAACCTTATCAGCTTTGAAGTCTAGGCCTCACACATGTTTCACATTTCCAGATGGGACAGGGACCAAAATATTATTATAAATAATGAAGAAATTGTTTGTTTTGTTACGGTCGGGAATTGAATGGGGGTTTTAGGAGAGCGATTTATCTTTTCGTGTAGATGTGTTCGCCGACCGGGGGATGTTACCAGGCTTAGCTCTACTATCGCCCTTACTACGATAGTTGTGCAATTAAGACTGAATTAAGCCTCAAGTGACCTATTTAATTATGCGCGCT